ATCAATGTTTTGCTTCTATTATGTCAATATTAAACCCTTAAAACTAGATCAAGAGGTCTTTGCTTTTCTTTTTCTTAGTTGCTTGTTTCCCTATTGGATTGCATCTTGTATTATATGAAAAGTTTATTTCTGACATGGGGTTTTTCAGGATCTGAGGCAGTACATGCTCCCACTTGCTATATCCATTGTGTTGTCCGGACAATATGAAGATGACTTAGACAACTGCGAGGAAATTGTGTACACCGGGCAAGGTGGAAACAATTTGCTTGGGGATAAACGCCAAATCAGTGATCAGAAGCTTGAAAGAGGCAATTTGGGGTTGAAGGTATGTACATTTTATTACATTAATCATATCCTCTTGTGGGAACATTGATTGTGTTCATCCTTGCATAAGAAATAGAGATTCCTATCCTCGACCCCACCTTGTTAATCAGGGTACTTTTTTTGTTCATCCAGTCGTTCATTTGGGGCATGCTTGGATATAAAAATCTTTGGATTTGTTTGGATTTTTGGTTTGGTTTAGTTAATTTTGAAAAAGGTGATATGATTAGTTGTTAGTGGGTATATTAAAATAACATTTATAATTAAATAATTAAAGTTGATTTGATATAAATTTAGGAGAGAGATGATTGATTAAAGTTATGTGAATGGATGAATAGTAAATTAAAATTTGATGTGGTGTGTACAAATGATTGATTGATATTATTTAGTTATATTGATAATATTGATGATAGTGAGGTTGTGTTAAAATAAGTGGTTGGGTTAAAAATGATTGGATTAGTTTGGATAATATTGTATCCAAGCATCCTCTTGATAATTTGATCCAAGAAAGTATAGTTTGGATATTTTTTTTTTTGGGAAATTGACGCAGTTACTAATTCGTGAACTGGCCACTCATATGGTCATACCACATATGTAATCCTCTGCAACTAAGTTGTTTTGTCCAGTAATTAGTGTTCTTGATAATCATCCTGGTTGTCCTTAATGGTTTTTGTCATTATAGTCTAACGGTTTCTGTTTTCAACTGGAGTTAATTTCACATTCAATATATTCAGAGGTTTGATATTAGATAATAGTAGCTCAATCAAACGTCATTTTTAGGCTTCAATTAGCCGGTGAACACGAAACCTTTGTCTCCATTTTCTTGGTTGTGCATTTTAATTCGTCGTATATCATGATAACTTAATTTGATGTTGATCTTGATATGTTATTAGCATATTCTTTTGAAAGATGTTCGGGAATGGAAACTCTTGTGAAAATTGTCTTTTGATCTTTAAATTAATGTTTCTCTACAGAATTGTATGGAACAGTCTGTGCCTGTTAGGGTGGTTCGTGGACACAAGTGTTCGAACAGCTACGTGGGCAAGGTTTATACATATGATGGCTTATACAAGGTTAGTTATCTAAGAGAGAAATGATGGTTTACTGAAAATTCGCTGTGGGGATTTTTATGTGTTGCTTTGGTATATTTCTTGTTCCACAGGTTGTTAATTATTGGGCAGAAAAGGGAGTCTCTGGTTTTACAGTTTACAAGTATCGACTAAAGCGGCTTGAGGGACAGCCACCTTTGACGACGAAGGAGGTAGTATGTCCATCAAATAGTATAAGAAAACAATGTTATTCCACTAGTTTAGTTTATATATGCTTGGTATGATCAGCATCTAACATGTATTTTTAATCGAGAAATTATTTTCAGAAGTGTCTATAACATGTTCAACAGTTTAGTCCAGACTTCCACTATAATCTGCATAGTTATTTATTTTATGATGCTTTAGTAGCAATTACAACCAATTGAAAAGCATTAGTATTGTTTGTTATGAAAAATATAGCTCAGTGTTTTTGAATTTTATAAATATAAGACGGGTCTAATTAGCTTTGGTCAAGGCCCTCATGAGTCATAGGGCGTCGGGTTTCTAGCCCATGTGCCCCTAACCAGTCATCCTTATGGTTCATATGTTACTTTTCTAGACAGTGATATTCCTGTATTTGCTTCTGTTGACAATTGTTATTGTATATTGGATAATGTCTTGATGTTTTCTCTTTATATGTGACTTTTTTATCTGATACCTTCTATGTATAGAAGTATATGTTTCATCGTCTAGAACGTCAACAGTATATCGTGCATATATTGCAGGTGTATTTTACTAGAGGCCGTATTCCCAAGTCCTTGTCCGAAATTAGAGGGTATGGTTGATATTAAAATTTCTGTACTATTGTTATCATACCATTTATGTATTTTTTTTTTTCTCTTTCTTCAAGCAAATTTATAATGTTGTTTTGTTTTCTTAAATTGAATAGACTCGTGTCTGAAGATATTACGGGGGGACTAGAGGATATTCCAATCCTTGTCACTAATCTGGTTGACGAGCCTCCAATTTCACCATTAGGTTAGTTTTTTATTGTCTCTTTTGCTTATTCTGATTTGACATCATTTCTTGCCTTTTTCAAATTAACTTCCCTTCATGATTGCATTTGTTGTGCATATAACATGATACGTTGTACTGGTTTGATGTCATTACATTAATTCTGGTCATTTGTAAATTAATTTTCCTTGAAAATCACCTTAATTGTGCTCATCACTTGATGTGTTGTTGGAGCTAGCTATTGGCTAGGATAAATACATGGGGGTTCCATCATTTTGGAATCTTTGGTTAAACCATTTGAAGCCCAGCCATTTTTTGTTTAAAGTTCCAATTATGGATCTATTTTTAAAATAGACCCTCATGAATTTTGTTTAGTTGCCACTGACTTTGTCAAGTGAACTTCTTTTTATGTTAAGATTCAGGTTTTGTTTACATCACGAACATGAAGTACAGCCCGAATATAAGTGTTCCCACGATTGCTCCTGTGGGATGCGATTGCAAAGGCAGCTGCACGGATGCCAGGAGGTGTGCTTGCGCGAAACTTAATGGTGGAGATTTTCCTTATGTGCACCGTGATGGTGGAAGGTAAAAGTCTTGCAGCAAGCGAGTATCCTGAAACTTTTTAATGAGTATTGTTGTACAGGCTTTGTTAATATTTATTTATTTTCTTTCTGCCTGAATCATATGAACGTGATGAAACACTCGACTTATTAATCATTTCATTGCTTACGATTCTGGCACTGCTATTGGAGTGATTACTAACAATATATTGACTGCCATATATTTTATCAAACTTTTTCGTCTCACACTATAATAATGCAACATCTTTGCCAACATTAATCTGAAATAAGTCACTGTTTGATAATTTTACTTTCTTTTCACTTGCCAGGTTGGTTGAGCCTAAAGCAGTGGTGTTTGAGTGCGGACCAAAATGTGGATGTGGGCCTAGTTGTGTCAATCGGACCAGCCAACATGGGCCTAGGTTTCGATTTGAGGTGTGTACAGACAGACATTCATTCTTTCTTTATCATTCTTTTGACATGAAAAAAAATGTTTCTAGTATGTGCTTACCAATACATGTTGATATTGTTAGGTTTTTAAGACTCCGAAAAAGGGTTGGGGTGTCAGATCATGGGATTATATTCCCTCTGGTGCTCCTATATGTGAATACATAGGCCTCCTCAAGCGCACTGCAGATTTGGACCCTTCAGCAGATAACAGCTATGTCTTTGACATAGATTGCATCCAGACCATGAAGGGTCTGGATGGACGAGAGGTGTGTATGCTGTTTGTGCTGATTACTTTTCTTTCCATGCTGCTAATTACAAGATATAAAATTCATGACATATATTTCGACTTCTCTACTTGGTTTTTGCTTCTTCTGCCAACGCGATCATTTCTTAAACTAAGAGCCTGTTTAAATGGAGAGCTTCTTCCCCATTATTTTCTTTTATATTTTATCTATTAGAATATTCACTTGTGAGTTGTCCCACATCGTTTACATTGGGAAAATAGGCCTACTTTATAAGTCTAATTGGCTACTTGGGCTTCATCTAGGTTTTTTCTGTCTTGGTGTGCTTCATCTGCGTGGGACCGCACCCGTTTTCCCCCTTTTTCTTACATTATCCATTTTAAATGGTTGAATTCAGCTGCTGAAATTTATCAACTCGCAAATTGCGAGTGAAGTGAGTTTATGTCTTAGAAGGTAGATGAACTGCCATAATGCCCCTCTTTTGGCCTCCTTTTGTTTTACTAACAGACCATGTTTTTGTTTCTCTTTCACCTCTGTTCACTGGGATGGGCTCACCATTTTACAAAGGGGTAATTTCTCATCGTGTACTGACTTTTTCGTGTAAACAAGCTTGAACGATCAATTAGTATACTGTAAACCCTTTTGAGGTCGGCATCTTATTCTTGATTAGACTTGCCCTTGGGCTTGGGAAACTAACCTCTTAACTGCCGATCATCCTCAAACCAGAAGATAAAAGAATAAAGTAGTTCCTGCTGTGAACTCCCCGATAAAAGAAACTTTTTGAATCCATTTTTATTGGATATTTTAAACAAGATAACAGACAGAGCTTGGCCGAGTGTTAATAAATGGGCCTGGTAGAACTCATTTGAAAAAGCTAGCTCAGAGGGAGAAGGTGCCTGACACACACTTATACATAACAGTTCAATAACTAATTGATGTAGGACAAAACATAACTTCTCAAACCCCACCCAATGTGCCAAACCAAATGGATCGGGTCCTAACCCATCCCCACCTTCCAACAAACAAACCTGGTGCTACCATAGTTTGAGCATGTGAATACGTGTAGGCATGTTTCTGGATTGATTTTTTTTTTTTTTTTTCTTTCTATCTCAAGGCTTTGTTTCTGCCTTCGGGTCTGTTTTAGTTGTTCGAATTTCAGTATTTCTGATTCTAGAACTTGTTCAGTCTTTTGGAGTCTGTTGCACATCTATGAACTTTTCAGTTTCGGACATGCAAAAATGATCAACATCTCGGTTGAGGAATATTACCATCCCACACCTATACATCATAACTGATCAGTAACTAACTAGTGTAAGACAAACATAATTTGCTTCCGTTTTGTTGGCCTTTTTTTTTTCCTAAAATTTGGTATTATTATGTTTGGTACTAAAATTTTCATTTTCACTACAGAGCCGGCTTGCTGATGTGTCATTGCCATCTCACTTGCTAAAGTTTAATGAAGAGGCATCCGAGAATGTTCCATTTTGTATTGATGCCGGCAAAACGGGCAATTTCGCTCGGTTCATAAACCACAGCTGCCAACCTAACCTATTTGTCCAATGCATGCTCTCGAGTCACCACGATCTAAAGCAAGCCCGGATTATGCTGATTGCAGCCGATAACATACCGCCACTGAAGGTGCCTTTCTCTTGCACCTTTACATGCCTGTGTGCTCATTAGCCAATAGCCATTGCATGGCGATCAATAATACTATTTAGTTGACAATGGGAAGCCCTTTTTTTTAACCTAAAATAAAATTCAGGGGATTATATAAGTGAATAAAATCTTTGAACGGCACTCCCTGATGTTAATTTTCAGTGTTTTTATAGCCAAACATACTTTTGAATGTCCTTGACGTGGCTTGCATGACCTGCCTCAGCAGATGGCCGTAGGCCATTGGAAATTTCTAAATACTTAACTAATTGTATTTTTATATATAAAATTTAATATATATATATATATATTTAATATTATATGTATTTTAAAATATTAATATATTAAATACCTGTCTAAGTGGTTCAACCACTAGTCCGATCAGTGAACCATTAAACCAGTAACTCGACCGGTTCGATGAATGGTTCGGTTATGAGAACCTTGGTTTTAGACTTGAATCTTGCTGGACTTTGTCTTTGTGATTATCCTTATTGGTGGTCCTGCAGACTTCTTTCTCTTTCTACCTTTGTGAGGCCTGGAAGGTTCAGCCTGCCCGGTGACTAGCACCTTAGGATCACTCTTTATCGACTGTGACTAATGTTTCAACTTTTCAATGTCGTCTTTCAACAACTCTTTATCCACTATCCACAGTTGATAACACTGGCTACATGTCCACGGCTACAATAATTATTGGACAAATTAACTTCTGAAATATGCACTTAAAAATATGTGTTGTGTCAATTGTTTTCCTTTTGATTTCTTAACTGTTGTGGCATTCTAACGAGTCGTCACTGGCCTTTAATAACTAAGTTTCTGAAGCTCCTTCATTTTATTTTTCATCCTGAAAGCATGGAGTACTTTGACTGCCATCATTTAGCTAAAACCGATTCTCTTCGTTCTTTGATTTCTTAGTTTTCCTTTTGTTTCTGCAGGAGCTAACATATGACTATGGCTATGCCTTGGACAGCGTCATGGGGCCAGATGGCAAGATACAAAAGTTAGCATGTTTTTGTGGTGCAGAAGGGTGCCGAAAGCGGCTGTTTTAGGTAGCATCAGCCGAAAAGCAAATGTGGATGCTTTCTTTTTGTGGATTGATATGATTATCCCCCTTTATTTTGCTGCTATATATACACTGAATGGTGGTCATTTGATGTCCTAATTTAACCAAAACTTGTTTATTTATGGAGGCTTGAGTGACCTTTATCTTTTGTATAGATATTGGATTGAGAGGGGGTTATGTGATAAGTAGTAAACTGGCCGTTTTTGTTTCTTTGTTGTTTTGTTCATGCTGGGTTGTTACGAGTTGGCTGGAACAAAAATGGCAAGTGTTAGTAATATATGTCGTGTGGGGCTTTAATTGTGAGCTGTACATTCATATCTTTTGCCCTGCGGTTGTCATGAGTTGCAATGGAACAGAAGTGTTGCTATATATAACTACTTTGAGTACCATATATACTCGTCATATATCTGTTAATGCTTACAGTCATGATATTATTGAATGCGTATTTCGATTTGGGTGTCGTTTTATAATCCTTATTGTTGAAAGTCACATTTTTTTTAGGCTTGTATGTTATTGTGCAAATATTTCAAGTCTTTATGAATTGAACCAATTTATTGTGAGTACATTAAACCCCCACCACAACACCATCGCCCCGAGCCCAACCCACACCACATCCTGACTCGTCACGTCGGCGATTCCCTCGGCCCATGCACCGGTTGCATAAGGGACAGAGGGGCCCCAACCACCACTGCAAGGCCGTCGGGTCGCAAGCTAACCCCACAGCACCTCTGCCGCCACACTTCTTGAGAGATCGACAACTCCTTCAAAGCTTTCACGAGCTGTTATTTTTTCATGAAATCGAGCTAGAAGTGTTCTCATGATATTTTGAATTTGACGTGCTTCAGATATATCTTCTCCTAACATTGCACTTTAATTAGCGAGATCACATAACCTCGAGTAGTACATGTCAATCGTTTCATCCTCTTTCATCTTTATGTCATTAAAGGCCAAAGTTACTCGCTGATGTTTGGAGGATTTGACAATCTTGGACCCTTCGAACTGATGTTCTAATATACGCTAGACATCCTTGGCATTCGTGCATTGAACTATCATCTCATGTCGTGCTTGATGAACAACCATCAGAATTGCGTATAAAGCCTGAAAGTTCGCCTTTTTTTGCATACATTCTAGGTCTATCCACGTGTCTCTTGGTTTAGGTACTTCATCAACTACATTATGTAGTCCACTCTTTGGTGCTCTTCTCATTATTAGGTGTTTCCAGCCATTTTCAATGCTTTTCCATGCTCCTTTTCTCAGGAAGAGCTAGAAGATAGTCATCATCGATTTTCAGTTGGAATAATTTAGAGCCGTCTAGTTGAGGAGATCTTGACATGGATCCATCGTCGTGATTCATGATATCCCAAGTACAAATCTATAGGATCTTGGTATAACTGAACGAAAACTCGCTATGGTACCAATTGAAATTTTGGGGGAAACACAATTTGCATCTTGAGATATTATACAATGTAAGTTCACAAAAATTGCGGAAGTGTTTCAAACAAAAATTGAACCTTCAGAAATGCATCTTACTCTCTCTCATAATTCTTTCATTTAATAAGTGTTTGACCAAGTACAACTAGGATTTACAACAAAGATTTTTTCTTTCCTAACCTACGTCGTACACACTTATTTAACTACTTTTTCGGCCACTTCTCGTGGACTTTATTTTTGTACGGGGATCTCTCCTTGCACATGAGGAAGTGTTCGTTCCAAGCACTTTCCCAAGCACTTGGATGATGATTATCTAAGTACGCATGTTTTAAATCAGAGTTGAAGACTCTAAGTTAACACTCACCAACAACAAATAAAAGCTAAGAGATCTTTTTCAATTCTCCTCACTCTCGCTCATCTCCTTTACCAAAGTAGGTTCTTCAATATTTATAAATATATAGTCACTCTTCTTTCAGAACATATGCATATGTTCAGGTTCTCTCAATCAAGCCCGCGCATCTCGTTCAATTAACAAGGTTAATTCTCCTTCTTAAGTCTTTTGATCCGCGTCCATCTTCAATTAATATAAATCAAAAATCCTTTAAAAATAGATAAGTCAGTTAGTCCATAAATATTTAAGCAATTAATTATAATAAAAGAAAGAAAATCAAGACTACTTCTCTTAGTCTTCTCACAAAGGTCAACTTGCTGATATAATTGAGATTGCGATTTATGCTAAAATTCAAACTATTACACTTTCTGTTATGTTTATTTATACAACAATAAATATACTTTTAAAGTATTGAAATGAAATGATTTTAATATATTATGTACTTGATAAATGCCATCATGATTAATTACAAGCTAGAGATATGTTACATGTTTATTAATACTAGTGCACTGGTACGTGGGAAAACAATATTACGATTGTGTATAAATTAAATATACAGATAAATTAATCAAGATTTACCCATCGTTTTTAAATTAACCATGTTGGACAATGTCTGACCGGATAGACCGAGAATTGGTTTATAATCAGTCTAGTTCACTTGAATAAAATATTTACTATTGAATCCGTCAACACCACTCGGAGGATCGATACAATTTTCTAAATACATTTGGCTATATTTAAAATTATTTTAAATAAATCATATATTTAAATAAAATAGAGACTTATAAATTGTTCATCAATTAATTTAAACATTTAAATTTTTAAATTGTTTAGATATTTAAGTAACATATTTTATTCAAATTTAATACAAAAAGTACTATATATATATATATGTGTGTATGTATATTAAAGCGTATTTATAAAGAAAAAAATTAAATTGTATGATTTTTATAAATAAATTGTATAATTAAATTGTATGATTATATTAAAGCGTATTTAAAAATTAAATTTTATGATTTTTAAATAAAAAAATAAAAAAATAAAACTGGGTTGTATTAAATATTGACCAATTTTTTTGCTACTAATCTCTACTTATATAAAAAGCTATCATATTTACTAAAAATAGTAGGTAGAAAAGTCAACGGTAATTAATACATTCTATTTCTGTTTAAAGTATTTTATTTAATTTGGCTTGGGAGAAGGGACACCGGATGGTCGAAGCAGAGGTCGATAATAGCAGTGTGCTGAAAGTAGTAATGTAAACCTCTGAAGAGATACCGACCGAGATTCATAGTAGCATCATTTTAGGAATTCGAGACTTGTTGGCAAGGGAGTGGAAAGTTGAGGTTTGCCATATCCATCGAGAAGAAAACTTGCGTCGTTGGCCTCGAC